TGGAGTCAATGTTCTTGCGGGCAAATCCTCTTTCGTTGTTGATATAAACAGATCGAGTGGGCACTGTACGAGTTCCATGAAAAAGTGGACATCTTTGGAGTAGAGCTTTGCAGAAAAGTTTTTGACGACTTGGTGGAGGTCCTCCATCAGAGTGTTGGGCTCTCCTCCGTTTGAAATCTTGCATCTACCAATCTCTTTTATGCGGTGTTTCGGGCTCATCGCAATCTACGGAGAAATCTGGATTCGTCTAGAGGAGATATGGGCACTGCATCGATGAGCTGTGTCAATCTCTTGCTCTCCCTGCGGTTCGTGCGCAAAATTGAAAGGAGGAGGGAAGAAACAGATGGTCACTTTTTGGTCAAAACAAAATTGAGTCATATTTATGTCTAATAAAAGATGGGAAGTAATATTTGTACCATTTTTTCTAAAATCATTAAGACTCCACTTGAACACCCATTAAAGAATATCAGAGTTCCATTATCAATTGATTTTCCTTGTAAGACATGTTCTCTTGACAAAATGATCATCATGCTTTCTATGAACAAAATTGCAACTGAATCACCTGCATTTTTAGAAAAGATTCAAGGAAATATCTGTAAGGCGATAGCCCCACCATGTGGACCATTTAGGTATTTTATGGTGTTGATTGATGTTTCAACACGTTGCTCAAATGTTAGTCTTTTATCGACTAGAGATTTAGCATTTGCTAAATTCCTTGCTCAAATCGTACGATTAAGAGTTTATTTTCTGGATCATTCTTTAAAGAGAATTTGACTTGATAATGTAGGATAATTTACATCTCAATCATTTAACGACTATTATATGTCGGTAGAATTGATAAAGAGAATATGTCTTGCTATCTAACTTGATAGCATTTATGTTGCTCATGTCCATACACAAAATGATCTCGATGAATCTTTAATTGAACGATTACAATTAATCCCTAGACCATTATTAATGAAGTGTAATTTACCTTAATCTGCTTGGGGACATGATATACTACATGCAGCAAGTTTAATTCGGCTTAGACCAACTGCATATCATGACTATTCTCCAATGCAATTAGTAATTGGACAAGAGTCAAACTTAGCACACATAAAAATATTTGAATGTGCTTTTATGTTCTGATTGCTCCACCTCATCGTACAAAAATGGGTCCTCAAAGAAGGTTGAGAATGTATGTTGGATTTTAATCTCCCTCAATAATAAAATATCTCGAACCGGTGACTGGTGACTTATTCACCCCACGGTTTGCAGGCTGTCATTTCAATGAGACAGTATTCCCGACCTTAGAGGGAGAAAATAATAAATTAGACCCGAGTACGAAAGAGATTACATGGTATGCAACAGGATTATCACATCTTGATTTCAGAACAAATATATATGAACAAGAAGTTCAAAAGATAATCCATTTACAAAATGTTACAAATCAGTTGTCTGATGCACTCACAGATACAAAGACAGTGACAAGTCACATATTCCTGCTATGAATGCCCCTGCCAGAATCAAAATTCCAGCAAATAATTCTAAAAAATCTCTTGCAAATGATTCTTCTATACGCAAAAAACGTGGCAGGCCACTTGGATCAGAAGACATAAAACCAAGAAAAGGTAAAAGGCAGGAATTGATCTGTGATGCCAAAGATGTTCATCCTTCTGAACAAGAAAATGAACAATTTGAAAATACTAGCATATAAAACGATATTGACAAAACAAACATCTCAAATGATGATCCAACTTCCTTAAACAAGAAAGATATTCCATATAATGATAGAAACGTTGATAATTATGAAATTTCAATAAACTACGTTTCTACGGGAATACAATGGAATCAAAAAGATGTTACTATTAATGAGATATTTGTCTATGCCATTGCCACGAATGTAATGAATGAAATCAATGACAATGATCCAACATCAATTGATGATTTTCGGAGACGACACGATTGGCCAAAATGAAATGAAGCAATTCAGGCAGAATTGAAATCACTTGAAAAACGTGATGTTTGTGGACTGATAGTCCATACACCAGTAGGCGTAAAATCATGTGGGTTTTAAATGGGTATTTGTGTGTAAACACAATGAAAAAAATGAAATCGTAAGATATAAAGCTGACTTGTTGCCTAAGGATTTTCTCAAATGCCGGGAATTGATTATAAAGAAACCTATTCTCGAGTAGTTGACGCAACTACATTAAGGTTTCTCATTGGCATGTCTGTTTTTGAAAGGCTGCAAATGCTCCTAATGGATGTAGTAACTGCATATTTATACGGTTCACTCGATACAGACATTTATATGAAAGTTCTCGGGGGATTTAAAATGCCTAGCTCGAAACATCGATACATGTTTTCCATTAAACTATAAAAGCCATTGTATGGACTAAAACAATCTGGACGAATGTGGCATAATCGTCTCAGTGAATATCTTTCTAAAGAAGGATATAAAAATGATCCGATTGGTCCATGTGTTTTCCTTCGGCGATCAAATTTGGGATTCACCATAATTGCAGTATATGTTGACGACTTAAACGTTATTGGAACTCCCTGTGAAATTAAGAATACTGCAAAATATCTTATGAATGAGTTTGAAATGAAAGATCTCGGGAGAACCAAAATTTGTCTCGAAGTTCAAATTGAGCATTTGAAGAATGAAATTTTCATTCATCAATCCAATTACATCGAGATAGTTTTGAAGCGGTTCTACATGGACAAAGCTCATCTGTTGACATCACCGATGGTGGTTCGATCTCTCAACATACATGATGATCCATTCTATCCCCGAGAAGACAACAAAGAAATACTCGGTCCCGAAGTACCATATCTGAGTGCTATTGGAGCTTTAATGTATTTAGCTAATAATATTAGACCAAATTTTGCATTTTCTGTAAATTTATTAGCTAGGTAGAGTTCATGTCCAACAAGGCGTCATTGGAATGACATCAAACACATATTCCGTTATCTCCGCGGTACAACTGATCTCGGCCTATTCTACCACAAAGATGCGAAAGCCTCTTTAATCGGATATGCAGACGCTAGATACATATCAGATCCTCAAAAGGCCAGATAAAAAACTGGGTACGTATTTACTTATGGTAACACCGCAATCTCTGGAGATCTATGAAGCAGACATTGATAACTACATCATCAAATCATTCAAAGTGAATTGCACTATATGAAACCGGGAAAGAATGTGTGTGGCTGCGATCTATGATTCAACACATCCAATATGAATGCGATATGAAATCTCTTACATATCACCCTACTGTGATCTATGAAGACAACACTGCGTGTATAGCATAGATTAAAGAAGGCTACATCAAAGGAGATATAACGAAGCACATATCACCAAAGTTTTTCTCTACTCACGACCTCAAAAAGAAGGGAATATCAACATTCAACAAATCAGATCCAATGAAAATCCAGCCGATCTCTTCACCAAATTTTTACCCCCGAAGAAATTCATAGAACTTGTATAGAAAATTGGCATGTGCCGCCTTCAAAATTTATTCTAAATTCGAGGGGGGGGGGGGGGTATTTGAATGCACTGCACTCTTTATTCCTTCATCAAGTGTTTATCCCACTGGGATTTTCTGATAAGGTTTTCAACAAGATAGTATATCCAAATACAACGACATTATAAGTCGTAATCTTTACTCCTTAATTTTAACACTCATTTTTCACAATAAGTTTTTAACATAACAAATACCTATTCAAGGACGAACATTCAAGGGGGAGTGTTGTAAATTCATGAGCATGACAAGTGTGAATTGTTCATCCGTGACATGAGGAAACTAATCATTCTTTGATGATTTATCTCATAACCAACTAGTATAAATAGGGTGATCAATCCTTTGTAAATTTTACTCAGAAATTTTCATATTAAGAAGAAGTAATTCAGAGCTTATATTAATATATATCTCTTAAATCTATTACGCATCTTCTTCATTTCACAAACACTCCTTACAATTTTATAATTTAAAGGTCATCAAAGTTTTTACCTTTTCCCATTCCTATTTTAACTATGGTTTCATATTCTTACAATTTATCCGGATCATATGGGGGACATCTCATTATTTAGAGATGTAGAACATGTTTGGTAACAGTGAAATCAACTGAATCTACTGATTCTATTCAAATTTCTAAAGTTCTGACTGAAGTGGTTGTATTGGCCGATTCTACTGATTTATGAAAAAAGTACATTTAAAATATATTTTATTAATAAAATAAAAATAATTATATAAAAAATAGTTGCAATGATCATCTATACTAACTTTAGTCAATACAACCAGAAATGTAATTCTAACCTTACTTTTTCTTATTATTACACAATTCGAAATCAAAAGTTAGGAGTTTTGTTAAAAAATCGATTGATAAACCCGATATGCCTAAAATCGATTGATACATCCTATTATAATTGCCAAATTGACGTCTCTCATTGTAAGATTAGTTATACAAAAGAAACACAAGAAAAAATTATAATTAGATTAACCAAAAGAATACAATAATAGTTTATATACTTCGTACAATTTAATATTTTATCACATACTATGTATGTATGTATGTATGTATGTATGTATATATATATATATATATATATATTAAAAATCAAATTCGAAATAACTAAATTTGTGCATAAAAAACATTCATTTTCATTTTCATTTACCCCAATGCCGCAAAGGCTCCCACCTACGGTGGGGTAAGGGGGGGTCAGATGTACGCAGTCTTACCCCTGTACTAAAGCACAGAGAGACTGTTTCCGGATGACCCATAGTGAAAAATTGTGCATAAAAAACATAAAATCATAAAATTCGTAGAACCAGAAAAATCAACAACAATTGAACTGATGTATGCAAAAATATAAAACCTTAGGATTGCAATTAAATTAAAACAAATATCATTATAGAAATAAAAACCTTAAAATATTTAAACTTCACTATCACATCACTGTTTTACAAAAACAGAACTAAAAAAACTAAAATATAATCATAATTACAGTTTCTAACCTCTCCAAAGGGGGAGCTTACCCATCAGATCAAATTCAAGTTCCAGGCCTTAAAATTTAAAGGCTAGGCTTTAAAGACAATTAACGAAGTATGTTATTCATAATTTCATATGGCTTTGGATGATTACAAAAACAAAGAACTAAAGTTGTCAAAATGGATGCTTAATAAAGTACTGCTTTTTCGGATTTCTGTTTTTACAATTATTTAGTGTTTGCTACTATCACCACTGGCAATTCTACATCCTCAGCCTGCTCTCTAAACTTCTTGTATATATCACCTTTGTAAAATTCCCGAGTCCTGGCAACCAAAACTAAGGAAGAAACTGCCCCAAAGAAAGTGACACTGGCAAGAATTATGAAGGGCAGACGATAACAATGTGGGCCGATGCAACTCAGCTCTTTCACATCCGCTCTACCCAACCCCTTCCTGGCCAAATCCTTGAGCGCCTCCTTGTCATACAACCGACCTGTGATCATCACGTTCAGTATGTAGGTCCCAACGGGGCTAGCCAACTGCCCGCAGTTGAACAACGTGGAATAGTATTTCAGCCCAAAGAGCTCAGAGATGATAGTGAAGAGGAGAGGGAGTTGGGACCCGAACGAGAACCCGATCACGACTGACGCGACATATAGTGATCCAGGGACCGGGAAAGCGACGAGGAGGAGGCCGATGCATGATAAGAGGAGGACAAGTGTCATCATAAGCGGTCTCGGGAATTTGTATCGGATCAGAAGAGTCTCTGAGAAGAATCCCGCAAAGATTCTTCCGAAAAAGTTCCATATACTGACAAGTGACACGAAGGTTGTTATAGTCTTGTTCGGGTACCCGAGCGCCTGCCCGATCTGCCCCATGTTGTCAACTGCCGTGAGGCTTGAACCCATCCCACAAAACGTGGCTACAAAAAGGATCAACATGTCTGTACTCAGAAGTGCCTGCAAGATGCTATAATCTTCTCCTCTTTTTGGTTTGTGAAAGAAAATATTGGCCAGCCAAGAGACTTTAGGACCATTATTTCCCTCCGGTGCTGGTGTTGGTTTTAGTTGCAGTGGCGGCGGCAGCAAATGTGGTTGCAGAGTAACAACATTTTGTACCACTTTCCTCTTCCGCCAGAGGGTTAACTCATGTCTGCCAAAAAACACAAGAGGAGAAAATAGCAAAATGCAAGAAACAGCGGCGCTGACATCATAAGCTGCCCCTGAAAACAAAACCACCTTTTGGAGGATTGTCATGACCATTATAAACAACGCTAAGACGATGGATGAAATCAGGCATAGGTAGAACATAGTGAGCTCTCTCTTGTCCCTAACAACCTTCATCTCCCGAATCGTGTACACGAACACCACTGACAATGCAGCCGGAAGCCAGGCGATAAGTAGGATGAGAGATTTGGAGTCATTCCCGTAAACAGCCAGGTAGAGCTGAGTCATGATGGCCCCACTTAGCCCGGTGAAACCTTTCAGGAGACCTATCATAGCCCCACGAGACTCAGGAAAGTTCCTTACAGAAGTAACCAGAGCCCCAGTGTTGGCGAAGTTCTGAGAATTAGCTCCTATGCAAATGTACAAACACATCTGCCAGACAGTCGGCTTTGGAATCTTCCCTGATACTGCCAACCATATAACAAAGTAGCCGGCAAAGTTCATGGCGGAACCGACTAATAAAACAAACCATGTTGGGGAAACCTCGGCAAGAAGGCCGGAGAGCACTCCAACGTTTGCCCCAACGTCCTTGAAAAAGCCTAGGAGGTTGAGGGTGGTTTGGTCATAACCCAAAGAGGCCTTTATCTCCTGAGAATACACACCAAATAAATATGTAGCTCCCGCCCCGGCCATAATCAGGAATGAGGCAAAGAGTGAGAACCATCTCCCTCTGAAGAAATGGAGGGCGAAACTGGAACTGCTTCTGCTATTATCATCTGTTGACGCTTCTTCTCCCATCACTTGTTTCTATGGAATTAGTAACAAAATCAAGAATTAGTAAATACAATATATCGTGCAAATTTATTGCTAAGGCTATAATTCTATGGGGGTTGTTAAGACATTGCAAAAAAGAAAGAGCAGACCATCTGTTAGATATAGAGAAGAAGAATTGATGCCATCCAGGAAAAGGGGATCCAATTGTTTAAGACCCTTCATAAACTGTTTTTGGATTATGCCAAATGGACCAAAGTTAATTTTACCAATTTGACCAACTACAAGTAGGGGATTAGAAGTTACTGATATTTAAACTTGAAGAGATCATATACTGCGATATTTTAACACATGCCAATACCACAGTGTCAAACTCACATTGGTTTATTACATTACATGGACCCGCATGAATTTAACGCGGGTCCACCACCTTCATTCTATAACAACCATTGTGGTTTTGACACACACCCGATGTGACCTCATAAGCCATGCCTCAGTCCTCACAAGGCATTATACAACTACTCCTTTATTGTGGGGATCAAAAGTAGGTGAGCTTTACCCCAAAAAAGTCATGATTCTTATACCATGTATATTAAAATAGATGAGGTAACTTTGTTGCAGATTAAGAAATGCTATAATTGACATTAGATATCTCCGTTTCAAACCAATCCAAAAAAATCCTTCACATTTCATAACATGTGCTGAAATATCAGCTTCTAGCAGTTCTAAAAAGTAGTCCAGTCAGTGATTCCTCAATTATGCATTTTAGTTATCCGGGAGGCCTATGCTCATAAAAAATCACAAAGCCAGTAAACGTAGAGATGAAATATAGCATAAGTAACTTTATAAATGCATATTCCAATTGCAAGTGGAGAAAACTATAAGTGGAAATTGAAAAAAGATGCTAACAAATCATCTCAATACTCAATAGCTCATGACCATATGTCCACATTCAATAGCCTAACATAGACTTGTGGATCCTACTAAACTTGGTGCTAATCATATATCAATAGGAAAAAACACTTTTGATAAGGCAAGCTGACAAAACAAGAAGCCAACCTTACAAAAGTATTCCCCTGTGATATTCCAGCAACCACACAGTTGTGTATTCTACTTTAAGTTACTGGGACCATCGTTTCAATTCAAGTAAAACAGTCCAAGCATTTTCATTGATGAAATTAATTGGCAGATATTATATTAAAGTACCGGAAAATCTTGCAAAATTATCAATTTATTAAAGTTACCATCATTTTAGAAAGTTTATAGGACATTGTATTTGCATTTCTTACCTACCTCATAGTCTCATACCATGAAAATATGATGATTGAGGAACACTTCAGTCTTTAACCATACCGGATTCAAACAGCTCAGATAAGACTTGGATAATAATAAAATGTAAATAATACTAGACCACTTATACACAAATACCAGTCGAGACTAATTTAGACTAGATTAGAATAGACCAGGCCAATTTCAACACAAATGAATCATTCCAAAGTTTAACTATTGAATAACAAGAAAAAGAGACATATCTACAAATATAACTATAATAATACGAGTAATATATTCCAAATTAGTAATTATGACAAGACTGGTGTCATTCAGCTTAATCATAATGCACATTGGTTAAGCCGACTAATATACGATTAAATCTAGTTGATAAGATACTTCAACCTAGACCATATAGACCAATATTTCAAAAGTTTGTTGTGGTTAGGATCAAAGGGAATAAAACTATATCATGCGTAGACAGTTTGTCCACTACCCAGACATCGTTTTCCCGTATGGAGCTTACGATTCCCACTTTTCAAAACTCTCCGATTCAAAAACATTGTAAAAAGCAGGGATGGGTCAAAACAATGAGGAACCAAACTAGTAATGAGTAAATCTTTATGAAACAAGGAAATTTACAGTTCTGTCTACTTACTTTTAGGAGGGGTAGAGGTTATTTTGGGTGATGAACGAAGAACAGAGCGTGCTGGTAAAAATTAACCAACCCCACAGTTCAAATCCATGGAACTAGGACGCGCTGCTGCTGGTCCATTTTCTAGTCTTCTGCGCTCGGTTTTTCGCACCATTTTCGTCAGGATATACGACCACGTTCTACAGTGGGTAAGCGTCAGGATTTTTGGATAAAAATGCATTATCAAATGAGATACATGAAAAAGAGGAAAGATAAATGAAAAAGAGGGATTCAAGGTTTGGGCTCAAGGTCAATTACAAGGTCAAATAAACACCTTTAGCGGCGGTGATTCCGTGATTGCTCGAGAACATTGGATTATATGGGAAGGTCACATTTGATCACATAAGAACTGAAACCCGCCAAAATCGAACCGATAGAAATTTAAACTGACTCAATCAAAATCGACTAAAATCGATTAGTCATTTGTGATTCAGTTTAGGGTTTCATCTTTTCGGTTATAAAACTGACCGAACCGAAATCGACCGACAAAAACTGATAAAAACATGCTAGAATCAACCGAAACCAACACAAACCGTCCAAAATTAACCGGACCATAACCAAATCAAGTAGTGCGGTTCGATATGCGGTTTCACATTTTCGAAAACTGAAACCGGTAAAACCAAAACCTACAAAACCGTGGTGACGAATTCCCCCTAGTTTAACTTTAGTATTCTACTATTCTATGTAACAATTGATTTAAGTAAAGATGAGAAATGAAGAGAATATCATTAGAGTATTCCCCTCTTGAAAAGAAGTTCGTAAATTGGAAAAACAAAAGGAAAGGAGGCCCAAACATTGGAGTAAAAAAGTCAAATAAAGGGTTAAAATTGTCCAAAGCTCAACTAAAGTGATTGGTCTATAGTGTTCGTCCACCAAATTTTATTTTTAGTGTATATATATACGAAAAATAATTTTCGCTCTCCTAAAAAATATTTTGAACCACAAAAAATATTTTCGCTCCTAAGATGATTTTTCTGGGTCCGCCCCTGATTGTTACTAATTGTATTCCACTAAAGCGCACTCGTTCGAAGCGGAGCCCCCACACCATATCAAGAAAACATTGGGTGTTCAAATTATTTTATAGTTACAATTTTATATAATTATATGGTTTAATCCAACATTTTAAAGAATACTATTTGGTTCAATAGCAAACAAATGCTAAATATTGTTAAAAGTAAGAAAGAGCATATAAAAACACAACATATAAATCATTTTATCAACTATTTACATTTATTTTTGCATTTTGTGATCAAAAGTTTGGGGATTCATGTGAACACCCTTGAATAGAGTGGCTCCGCCACTACCCGCTCTCCAAATTGTTTTATACTTAAATTAAATGCCTATAACAACTAGTTTTTATCCAAGATAATGTTAATTATAAAAAGTATTTACAAAATTAAGACTGGGTTAAAACTATTTATCATGGCCCAAAAAAAAAGAATTTCTCTTTTTTCTTTAAATTGCAATAACTTTCATAGTTTTGCTCTGATTTTTTTAAAAAATATATGAAATTTTATAACTTTTTGTGATCTTTCATATGACATCAGTATTAACTATGTAAAGTTTCAAAAAAAAATTGAAAACCATATGCGGTGAAAATCTAATTACAACTATCCACCGTCAATAAACGTAATTCTCAACCAGTTTAAACGAAAATTCCGTATTCACCATGTCAATTCACTTTTTCCTTACTAACACCGTTAACATATTCATCCAATATAGTTTTTAGTCAAATTCTTATACTTTTTAATCTATATAAACTTTTAGCCAAAAATATTTTACAAAATTCTAAAGATTCGATTGCCTAAAATTTTTTAGCTTCAATTTTTTTTAATTAGCAGATCTCTGTGTTAAATCATTATCATGTACATCTTTCAGTTATTCTTCAACAAAAGACGTGAAGCAATAAATTACCCTATCTTTTTATTGAGTTTTTTTCTTCAAAATAGTGCTAAATAAAAACTTGGAATTTAATATTTTATTGCTTTACGTCTTTTCATGAAGAATAACTGAAAGATGTACATAATAATAATGCGATTTTATTTTTTCACCCGGATCTGCTTATGAAAAAAATGAAGTTCAAAATTTTTAGACAATCGAATCTTTAGATTTTTGAAAAAAAGTATTTGACTAAAAGTTGATATAGATTAAAAAGTGTAAGAAGTTAACAAAAAAATTATATTTGGTTAATATATTGATGGTGTTATTAAGGAAAAAATGAATTGCCATGGTGAATACGGTGGATAGTTGTAATTAGGTTTTTCACAGTATATGGTCTTCAAAAAAAAAATTAAACTTCACATAGTTCATCTTGGTGTCATATGAAAGATAACAAAAAGTTATAAAATTTGAAGATTTCCCTAAATGAGACTAAAATAGAGTAAAATTGCACAAACAGGGCTGTCATGTTTTATGGATCAAAATAGGACCAAAATTGTACTGATAGACCAAATTACCCTTAATGAAGCAAGGCCCATGATCGTTGCACCTCCACCGACGATTTGCAGCAATGCCTCCAGACTACCTACACCAATAATACCCTCTTCACCATTCATCGCCACCAACACCATCGACGTCACTTACCGGCGAGGACGCTACCGCTTCCACCGGCGAGACCGCCGATGTTATTCTCTTCCTCCGGTGAGAATATTGTTATGGCGTCATCCGTCACTGTTAAGTTCTCCCCTGGAGGTGTCGACATCTTTCCTGTTGCGACTACCTCCTCTGGAGAGCAAGTTATCAGTTTCATGTGAAATTGCCATCATCATAACATCAAAGACAAAAATATGCCATTTTTAGATGCAGAAACATGTCATTTTGAGATTACAACATGACATTTTCAAAGACAAAAACATGTCATTTTTAGATGAAAAAACATGTCATTTTGAGATTACAACATGACATTTTCAGATAAAAAATCATGACATTCTCATGTCATAAAAATGTCATCATTTCTCAAAAATGTCAAAATCATTGCATTTTCAAACACATAATACTGCCATCTCCAAAAAATTGCCATCATATCTCCAAAAAATTGCCTATCATGTGGCATTTTTAGAAGGTGAATGACATGCATAATAAAAAAAACCATACCAATATAATATCGAAGGACAATTGACAGAGCCTCAAATTTCATATCCAGAAGTCCCAAATCTAAAAAAATAAAAATTTGACCGGTTCTTTGTTGAAATCGAACCCTTCATATGGATTTCCAAAATCAAATTTTTATTTAGAATCTCATTGATAAAAATAAAAAAGCAGAGCACCAGGAACAAGATGAGGAGGAGGAGGAGAAGAAGAGAAGATGAAGAAGAAGAAGAAGAAGAAGAAGAAGAAGAAGAAGAAGAAGAAGAAGAAGAAGAAGAAGAAGAAGAAGAAGAAGAAGAAGAAGAAGAAGAAGAAGAAGAAGAAGAAGAAGAAGAAGAAGAAGAAGAAGAAGAAGACCTACCTTGGATGAAATAGAAGCATACTCTTAGTTCCAGCGACAACAATGGAAAACGAGGTAGGGGAGGCAGCGCGGCTGGAGAGGCGAGGCGGCGGGACTGGAGACAAACTCGGCGATGGCTGAGAAGCGATTGACGAAGGTGGAGGAAAAAATAGTGAAGAGGGAGAGAAGCTCGCTCACTGCTCTTCAGACTTCAATAGCCGGCGATGGATTGGGGCTTTAATTATATTAAGGGCATAATGGTAATGTTTAGTCCTATTTAGGGAAAATTAAACATGAACTCCTATTTTGGAGTTTTAACTATGTTTTGATCCTATTTGGGGCAATTACTTTATATTTTTTTAAAAATTGGAGGAAGAATATGAAAGTTATTTCAATTTAAAGAAAAAAGAAATGATTTTACTTGGGCCACACCACCTGATCTTCCCATGTGTCTCCCATCTAACCAGATTTTACTAAACAAAATAATGGTGAATTGTACTTTCAAGGATGATTAGTTGTTCCGGATGGAGAGATTAAAAAAAGAATTCTTCGTGAGGCACATGAAACAAAATATTCTATGCATCCGGGCAGCAACAAAATGTTTAAAGATTTGAAGACCTTATTTTGGTGGTCTGGTATGAAACGTGACATCACTAAGTATACTTCTAAGTGTCTTACTTGTCAACAGGTTAAAGTCGAACACCAAGTTCCATATGGATTATTACAACCCATTACAATACCAGAATGTAAATGGGATCACATAACCATGGACTTTGTGATAGGTTTACCGTTGACATAAAAAAAACGACTCGGTTTGGGTAGTTGTTGATCGACTTACCAAATCTGCACATTTCATTCCTATCCGAAGGGATTTCTCCTTAACCAAGTTGGCTGAACTGTACATTCAAGAAATAGTCCATTTACACGGGATACCACTGTCTATCATGTCTGACAGAGATCCAAGATTTACGTCTCAATTTTGGGGAAGTTTACAAAAGGCACTTGGTACAAAGTTAAGTTTTAGCACAGCTTTTCATCCTCAAACAGATGGTCAATCTGAAAGAGTTATTCAAATTCTTGAAGATATAATGCGAGGATGTGCTATTGAATTCAAAGGGAGTTGGGAGAAATATCTACCTCTGATGGAGTTCGCTTACAACAACAGCTATCAGGCTACTATCCAAATGGCACCATATGAAGCTCTCTATGGTCGTAAGTGTAGGACTCCAATCTGTTGGACAGAGCTAAGTGAGAGAAAAATCATTGGGCCCGATATGATTCAAGAAACAAAGAAAAAGATCAAATTGATTCAAGAACGGTTGAAAACGGCATCTGATAGACAAAAGTCATATGCAGATCTCAAGCGTCGTGATATCGAGTATGCTGTGGGAGAAAAAGTTTTCCTGAAACTATCTCCTTGGAAAAAAGTACTTCGTTTCGGTAAAAAGGGTAAGTTAAGTCCGAGGTTTATTGGACCTTACGAAATCACTGAGCGTATTGGTCTTGTAGCCATTCCACTAGCATTACCACCCAAACTAAGTCAAATATATGATGTATTTCATGTATCTATGTTAAGAAGATATAGATCAGATCCTTCACATGTACTAACACCCGGGACCGTGGAGATTGATAAAGATTTGACATATGAAGAAGAACCGGTGCAGATATTCGTTAGAGATGTAAAAGTGTTAAGAAACAAAACGGTTCCTTTAGTTAAAGTCCTCTGGAGAAATCACACCACAGAAGAAGCAACATGGGAAAGAGAAGAAGCTATGCTGGCCCAGTATCCACATTTATTCAACAAAAGGCACTTGGTACAAAGTTAAGTTTTAGCACAGCTTTTCATCCTCAAATAGATGGTCAATCTGAAAGAGTTATTCAAATTCTTGAAGATATGATGCGAGGATGTGCTATTGAATTCAAAGGGAGTTGGGAGAAATATCTACCTCTGATGGAGTTCGCTTACAACAACAGCTATCAGGCTACTATCCAAATGGCACCATATGAAGCTCTCTATGGTCGTAAGTGTAGGACTCCAATCTGTTGGACAGAGCTAAGTGAGAGAAAAATCATTGGGCCCGATATGATTCAAGAAACAAAGAAAAAGATCAAATTGATTCAAGAACGGTTGAAAACGGCATCTCATAGACAAAAGTCATATGCAGATCTCAAGCGTCGTGATATCGAGTATGCTGTGGGAAAAAAAGTTTTCTTGAAACTATCTCCTTGGAAAAAAGTACTTCGTTTCGGTAAAAAGGGTAAGTTAAGTCCGAGGTTTATTGGACCTTACGAAATCAGTGAGCGTATTGGTCCTGTAGCCTATCCACTAGCATTACCACCCGAACTAAGTCAAATATATGATGTATTTCATGTATCTATGTTAAGAAGATATAGATCAGATCCTTCACATGTACTAACACCCGGGACCGTGGAGATTGATAAAGATTTGACATATGAAGAAGAACCGGTGCAGATATTCGTTAGAGATGTAAAAGTGTTAAGAAACAAAACGGTTCCTTTAGTTAAAGTCCTCTGGAGAAATCACACCACAGAAGAAGCAACATGGGAAACAGAAGAAGCTATGTTGGCCTAGTATCCACATTTATTCAACAATACTGGCTAAGGTAATTTCGAGGACGAAATTCTTTTAGGGGAGGGATGTAACGCCCTAAAACCCGGTCCAGCTGTAAAAACAATTTAAATCACACATATATGAATATATTTTTAGATACTATTATCACCTGAAATTAGTGAAATATATTTATAAAATGAAAAAAAAACATACGATCAAAATAGCATAAAATAACTTATCTACTTTAGTTACTAGCTTAGTAAGATTTTAGGATTAATATTAAAATTCACTATCAATTGATCTTGAAGGCAATACGTAATTACGTAGCATCTCAAATTGGGTGATTCGCCACATGAGGTGTTGTCTCATAATTAATCAATTTATAAAATTAAACCAAGTATCACACCAAGTGTCAAAATTTTAAGAAAGGTAGCGATTTCAAGAAGGGTCTCAATTTCTTGCTATAAATAGTATCCTAGCTTCTCATTCTAAAATCACAACTTGACCTTGCAAACCGTAACATTAGGAGGAAAGTGAAAATCTGCTTACTTTAACATCTATTATTTTCAGGTTAGTACGTTTCCGCCCAATTTATTTCAATGGGTTTGTTAATTACGGTTTGCTTCTTCTGTGGTGTGATTTCTCCAGAGGACTTTAACTAAAGGAACCGTTTTGTTTCTTAACACTTTTCGTCTCTAGCGAATATCTGCACTGGTTCTTCTTCATATGTCAAATCTTTATCATGCCAAAACTCACATTTTGAAAACTTGGCATAGAGTTTGTGCTTTCTCAATGTTTCTAGTATGATCTTGAGGTGTTCCTTGTGTTCCTCCTCAGACCTTGAATAGACCAATACATCATCAATAAAGACAACAACAAATTGGTCAAGGAATGATTTAAAAACGACCTTGAATGCTATGTAAATACTTTTAACTCAACTTTAATTTCGTAAAAACTTTTTTAATTAGCATTAATCTGAAAAAAAAACTCTATAACTACCTCAGTTAAATCATTTATTACTCCATTGAATTTTCTTTGGCTCTCATGACTGTACCAAATCAACCTGCTACACCTTTCACAAATGGCATTGCGGTTGTTACTCTTGATTTACCTGTAACACAAATAAATGAAGGCAGCCACAGATATGAAATTAGGTAGTGGCCTAAATTAAGCAATACACAAAAAAGCACTTTGGTAGAAATGCTTTTAGCCCATTTTTGTAACGCGAAATTTTGAAAAGGCATTATTGTGGCCAAACAGCTATAAAGTTCAACTGATCTGGGCATACAAGAAACAAATTGTGGTCCAATGATAAAAGATAAATGAATCACTTGGTCCAAAAGGTGTAATCTCTCATCTCAGGAGCTCCTCCACCCCGACCCGATAGGATGATGGGGGAGTTAATCACGGTGACTCAGTCAGCAAAGTGACGATAGACCTTATACACATGCACACCAGAGGTCTAGCCTTATTTCAGGTTCTGTAACCTCCACACGGCTGCTGCGGATTTCGAACCTTGGTCACTTGGTCCAATTTTCCCACCACTCGATCAACTGAGCTACCCGTGCGGTAAGATAAATGAATCACGGGATGTCCATTAATGTGCAAAGCCCATGCAAGAAAAATGGGGGACGAAAAAGAGTTATTTTTACTCAGAAAAGTTAAAAGATCCATCACTACATCACATGAAAAAATCTTCTTGTACACAGGGATGGATTTAAGGGGGCACGGGGGCGGTCACCCCCTTGGACTTTCAAATTTTTTCATGAAATTTTTATACTTTAATTAGATATATATATGTGTCCCCCTTAACTTTTAGTTTTCAAAATTAATATATATATATAGTCTTACATTATGTAATACTTAATTGGAGAGTTAAAAGATGAAACATCTAAAATAATTTACATAACATAAACAAATAAACAATACAACAACTCATTGTTTAAGACTTAGGATACCTATTATATAAAAAACATAGTTTTGAAATGTCTAATTACCTTTAATTTATTATATAATTAGTACTCGATTTGTAAAATGTCATTAAATACGTGACACACTAGTTAAACTGTTTTTAGATCATGTGAAGTGAATCTGAAAATTACACAATTCATTTACTTCTTACTTTTTAAAAATAATGTATTGCATAGATAATAAAGTTTAACTTATTTTTGGCATTAATACAAATTTAATATGCATCATATATAAGAATTAGCAATATAATACTATTCTAAAAATAATAATCTCGAACATAGTATTGTAATATTAGCAAAACTCCTCATGACTCACGAACACTCTTCTTGGTAAACAAAATTTGCAATTCAAAAATAAATTCCTTGTACCGATAAGATTCATGTGATTAAACATGACAAGAGTTATTTAAAAAGCATTGGTGGTTGTGCACCTTTTATACTCTTTACCTTCAAATAATTTGATAAAATGTTATATATCCTCTTTTATTTTCAAATATTTTTTCTATGATTTGCTATTTCTTACGCTTAATTTAATGTATCAAAACTTTTTTCTAAAACACTTACAATTATAAAATCAAAGTTATTTTTCCATTGTCTAAACTTAGAATGTAATATATTTAAATGTCATCATGTATGTACCTATGAATTCTTTTTGAATAAAAATTAGCCGCAAAGCCCTACACTATTGAAAAAAATTGCTCTGGTACACTAGCGAAAAAAGTTTCGCTCCACTACACTACAGGAAAAAAATTCACCCACTACACTAACGAAAAAAATTTCGCCCCCTTGACTCGAAATCCTGGATCCGTCCCTGCTTGGAAATCTTCTCCGGGTGCTCAAGTCTTGTCTCCATGCTTGCATCTTTCTTAGGGCTCCAGATCATCCTTACTGCATTGGGTTTAGAAAAAGTTTTTCTTGTACGTGGAGCAGAACATGAGTTCTTTGTCAGAAGAAGAAGTTTCAGGAGATTTTGTGCCTTGAAAGGATTTATCATAAAGTTCAGCAATTTTTATCAAAAGATTTTCCTTTTCGATTTTAAACTTTTTCTCGTTCCTCTTCAAAGGATGAATGAAGATCACCAATTTTCTTAATTAGAGGAGAAACGTATGGTTCTGAAACTTTTGAGGTTGAGGTTGATTCCTTATCGGACACATTTTGTTTTTCAGGAGAAGAGCAAATAACATAGTCATCAGATAAAGAAATTTCCCTTGTAGCATAGCTATCATTGAGGGCAGTGTAATCAAAACTAACCTCAGCTCTAGCTCTATTTTTACTTTTGTCTTCCTCTTCCTTAATAGTTTCAGAACCATAAGTAAATTTCATCAGTTTGGTTGACCCTAGATTCATGTACTTTATGTCGTACGATTGAGGACACTCAATTTTCTTCAAATTTTCATGATTTTGAAAGCCGAGTCCTTCTCTAGGGTTGTAAAATTGAGTGTCCTTGATTTTACTGTTCAAAACATGAATTATTTCTTCAGTTTGTCCTTTCTTGGCTAAAATATCATCTAACTCCTTTATCTTTGAATAAAGATGACCACACTCATTGTTAATCATTTCAAAACGAGTAACAGCTTCAGAACATTGTCGTTTAAAATCATTTCGTTCCTTAGTTAGGTCAAGGACAGATTGCTTAAGTTTACTCACTTCAGATTCTAAACTTGTGACCCTATCGCGTGAGTCTTTTAAGCGCACATTTTGATGAGCTCTTTCTATCATAAGTTGTTCCAGAACCTTAGTATTGTTTATATGTCTGTCCTCGAGTTCCTTAACTTTGTTTTTCTCCTTCTTTAGAGGAGAGATGAGTTCATTTATTTTTCACTTTGTTTGGAGATTATTGAGTTCAGACTTCAAACTACTTACCTCGTTTTCAGAAAATGAAGATGCGTTGTTTTCTTCTTCAGAACCATCACTTTCGCTTTCAGAGTCAACCACTCTTGCCATCAATGCAAGGTTATCAGGATCACTGTCATCAAAATCTTCCAGCCAGCTATCATGTTCAGCCATCTAAACAACACCTTGTTCTTTTTGCTTAGCCAATTGTGCCTTTTGCATGTAGTAGTTGAAGTCCTTCTTCTTGGCAGATTGGCATTCTTTAGCAAAGTGTCCCGGATTTCCACATTTGAAGCACTTCATAATATCATCATTGACAGCTTTGTCTGACAGTCTGCTAGCTTTGTCAGAATAGTTTGAGGACGAAGTTCTTTTTTTGTTGTTTGAAGCGGAATTTCTGAACCTTGTGAACTTCTTATTTATCTTTTTTTTCATACTTTTCAGCAGAGCCCGCTCCTTCTATAATTCATTGATCTCAGGGTCAGAATCAGACATGTTCTTCTCATCATCGGATGAGTCAACTTGAAAGGAGATCTTAGGGATCTTTTCTTTTCTTTTCAGTAGAGAGAAGGGCAAGTGTGTCAACAATGTTCTTTCCCTTTAAAGAATTGACTTTGTCACGAATGTCCTCAGAGAATTCCCCTAGACAGTCGTAAAGATTGTGGATGGTCAGCTCATCCAAATCTTTATTTTGTCTGATTCGTTTCACTGTTTTCTTCCATTCGGGTTTGAGTGACCTCAGGAAGCGAAGGTTGACTTCCATATTGGTTTTCCGAACGTTAATTTTCTTCATCTCGTTAAGGACCATCAGAAAACATTGGTAGGTATTGATAACCGCTTACGCGGCATTGTAGTAAAACGGAGTCTAATCTTTCGGTTTTCCCCCGAGTATCGTGTCTCTTGAGGAATGGCGGAGGAGTTTCTTGATTTTAAGTCCAGTCACAGGTTATCGCAAATTATTGGAAACTTTCCAAATTAAAACTTTTGATTGATTTTCTAAACTACTTTTTGAAAAAGAAAGTAAATTAAATTATGCAAATACTAATGATGGCTCAAAAATAAACCTAATGAAAAATATAATATTAAACTCTAAATGGATTGATCAAAGAAGGACAATGAATTGAATTATAAAATATGGGTACATCCTTTTAGCTTGGACCTAATAATTAGGAGTATTTATAACTAAAGATTAGAGTAATAATTTCTTTTCTCATTGACAAGATTTAAGTTACTTTCACTAATTTAACCTATTTCTAGGCTTCATTAATGTGTTTAAAATGGTTGGCCTAAATTATATTCTAATCTCATACACAAGATAGATATAACTTTCCGCATTTTAGCTAACAAAATGGTTAACTTCATTAATTAATTAAATTTCTCATATTAAACAATTGAATTTATTCCTCATAGACAAAGATTAAATTCTATCCATTAATTTATCATATCTCCAGGCTTCATTGATGTGCTCAATATATTTGGATTAAACTATTTATAATCTCATAGACAAGTTATAAATAATCTTTCAAAGTTTAATTAATGAAATGACCAAATCTATTAAATAATCAAATTAATAATTTTAAATAACTAGTCCATAACATTAGTTAAACTCCTAATTTTCAGTCAAACAAGGTCAACCCATATTCTTTAATTCAACTCATTCCCAAGAGTAAATTAACTACAACAACTCATTACTAGTTTTAACACTTTACATATAAAATAACTAAATAAGACATGATCATAAATCATAAGAACAAAATAAAATATTAAAGTGAATACTCCCAATATCTAAAATTTTATTTCTGTCACAAATAAACATCATTTATACTAGGTATTGAGTTTATCTAAGTAGGAGATTAATATAACAACAAGAACTATTTTTCTTGAATAAATATGGAAAATACGAAATTCTTAAAATTAATGTAGAGAATGTTTCACCAACATTTGGAAAATAAAAACAACATATTCCGAATCTACATGACGAGAAGATGAATTTTCATATAAAGAACTTACAAATTGGAGCTAAAATGAGAAAGATATGAAAGATTGAAGTTGAAGGTCCAACAATGGTGGAAATCCGAGCTTTGAGGTGGAAGAAGACACCCTTTTTATCTGAGTTGGGTGTGAGATGGTGTGTTTTGAGTTGGGGATGGAAGAGGGATTTTATAGCCGGAGTTTCATGGAAGACGGTCAGAAGGGCGTCCGCCCTCCGGCCATGGCCGGCAGCCTTCGGTCACTTCTCCGACAAAGCTACGTGTACGCGTCAAATCCGCCGCAGGCGCCCATGGATGGCAGCCGCCATTTTGGCCGCCTCCCGTCTTGTCTCAGCGACCGGCAGCTCAAAAATCACATCCCGCCGCAGGCGGCCATCCTCCGCCCCCCATCGGCAGCCTTCCATCATTTTGTCGCCATGCAAAGTGTGGTGTGCTGAAAGTGTCGAAAACTCATAGGCGCCCAGAAAGGTGGCCGTCTTGTCGACCGTCTCACGTCAAATGGAAAAGTTGTCTTCACCAAAGTTGTAGATATCTTTCTTGGCTAACTACTGGAATTTGAATTACATGCCCTAGATTTGTAGCTTATGAGATATGACCAAAACGGTGAGCACGTGTCACTTTCCATCGCAACTGCAAATGTCTGACTTCTTTGAGAAATATGTCCATTCTACGATTGTTATTTGGTTCTGTGTTCTTCATAAGAGTTGTAGAGCAAGAAGATGTTAATGTAATTCAACTGGTATCACAAACTCTGGGCAATCATGCGCCAAGTTATGATCAAAATACGAACATGTATCTTTATACATCGTCCATTTTCATCAAAAATGGCCATATAGGCGACCCCTTCTTGGTTTTTGAGCTTCCTTGCATGATTTCTTCATCTCTTGGACTATTCTCATTGAACAATTGGTCAACATATCTTGCAAAATTCCTTAGCAATTCATTTTTTTGGCAAAACATGCCACTTTCTTCACGCAATTGACCCGAAATTTCGCCAAACATGTTATGAATGTGATTTTTACCTGATTTCATGAAACTTGAACCGAAATATATAAAACATGCCTTGTTTTTATATTTTCAATCCAAAAATCGCTTAAATTTGATAAGAAAAGTAAGTACAAAAATGGACTTATCAGGTATCTTCCAGCTCTTCATCAGATCTAGCAACGAAGGAATCATATGCAGTCAGGGTGTGAGCTCTTTTGGATTTGATTACAACATCAGTGTCTTGCATGATCTGATGGATTTCATCCCATAAGTCTTTAGCAGTGGTAAGAATATCAATTTGCGTAAACAGATCATTAGGGATGGCTTGGAGCTTGTAGCTAGAAGATCAGCTTTGGCTCTGAGTTTCTCGGGTTCTGTATGGTCTTCATCCCTTTTCAGATTTCTTTGAGCTGGTGTGGGAAGATTAAATGTTGTGTTCTCAAGTACTTCAACCCATATTTCAATAGGTCCCTCTTCCAGAGACTTGAGAATATTTTTCCCATTATCTCTGCTTCTGATGAAGTTTAAGAATCTGACTTTCTAGACATCAAACTCCCCCCTCCTTAGCAGTGGAGGTCTTGAATCACTTCCTAGGGTATAAGCTTCCAAGAATATTGTTTGATCTTATGGCGAGAACTATTCAGATGAAATAAGATTTCAGTGCTGCTTTAGAAGATTTCGGATGAGGCTTAAATAGGATCTCGGATGTGGATTTGATTTTTGGAATTCGGATGAAGAATTCGGAAGATGATTTCGAATGAAAATCTTGGATGCTGATTTCGGTTACGGTCCAAAATCCAGAACTCGGATTGGGCTTTGAAGTAACAAATTTAGGGTACAGGCTTGAAATCCGTATTTCGGAAGTTGACTTCGGACGGTCTTCCGAAATTGAGATCTCGAGTAACCTACTAAAAATAGATTTAGGAAGCTGATTTCGGATGGTCTTGTGAAATTGAGATCTCGGGAAACCTGTTAAAAATAGGATTTCGGATGTGCGAAAAAATTAACAACCAAATCTGATTTGGATACCTCTTCCGTAGCTTTCCTTGTAGCAGCAGCCATCCAAAATTAGCAAATTACCAAGAATAGATCTAGAGATTAATTCAACCAAAAATTGTGATTTTGATCAAATTAATTCCAGAAAAATTCAAGGAATCAGATGAACAGAATTACGTCGAGGCTCTGATACCAATTGTGTGAATGTATGTCCAGTTTCATCTGTCGAATAATCTAGTAATAATAGGAAGAATTTAAACAGTAAAAGAGAAATTTACCAATAACGTATACCGTGTATTGATGATGATGAATCCATGATGAATAGTACACAAACGTATGAATATGTTGAGAGAGAATTTCTAATCTACCTGCTCTACAAGAATATTATGCTGAAACATAATGTGTAGAGACTTAGCAGTTTTCAGCCATCCCAGCCTGTATTTATAGGGAGATGTTCGAACTGCCTAATACAATTAGGAAACAACAGCTTAGGCGTGTGGTTTATTAGAGCACTTATAGTTGGACCTAATTCTCTCTCAACTATAAAAGCACTTATAGTTGGGCCTAAAACATAGTCACCAAATAGACTCTTAGTATAAGTGATATTGTTTTTTTTTATCCCGCAATGCAAACCACCAAAATCAGTGGGGTAAATGATGGGACCATTACAAAAACGGGGGGAGGAGGCCAAAACCTGGTCCAATAAAAATATATGATCAAAACAATCTAAAAATTAATGGATGTGCGAAATTGAGATCTCAGGAAACCTGGTATTTAACGGGGGGAGGATATGAAAAATTATTGGGGGGACCAAACCTGGTCCAATAAAAATATATGATCAAAACAATCTAAAAAAATTAAGGCCAAGCTGATCTGCAATGGGAGCCCGTCGAATATGCCCTGGAAGTTGCCTGATATTATGAAAAATAATCTCCTCCTCTAAATTAATTTTGGATAAATAATGAGCAGGCCAATTAATAATCCTATAGATATGTCTGAACAAAAGAACTCTCTGGACTTTCCATCTTCTGAAGTCTTCGAACATCCCCTCCATCTTCCTTCACATATTCCATCTGAGACAGCATCAACTACCAACCTGGAGTCCGTTTCCACTTCAATCTTCCGAAAACCACAGTCAATGACCCAACTCACCGCTTTGTGAACCGCTTCACCTAGCTCCGTTTCCAAAGCCGAAGATACAACAATAGGAAAGTGAATAGCTAATAGTATCTTCCCGGACCTGTTTCGCAATACAACACCTCTAGCAGCCCTATCTGCTGTGAACGAGGCATCTACATTGAGTTTAAACTCAAGATGATGTATGTTCCACTAGACAGCCTGCAATTTAGATTTAAAATACCTAAACGATGTCGGTAGAAATCCTTCTTCAAAGAAAATCACACTAGAAAGCCTTCAAAAAAAAAATCACCGCCGCCTCAGCACCACCACCTCCAGTAAGCAGGGGAAAAAAATGTCAAGTTCATTACGAATGCCATATTTATGGCAGAAAAAAATGAAAATGTTGGCATTCGAAAAGAGAAATATGCCACTTTTTTGGCATTTTCGGAAAAAAATGACATTTTTCTGGGAAAATGGCATTTTTTTCATCGCCCGGAGGTGGTGGTGCTGGGAGGTAGTACAAGCGGTGGGAAAGGCATCCATATTTTTTAAAAAGTTTTTTACGGAGTTTTACTATTTTTTATTATTTTTTTAAAAAATAAAATTATTTTAAAAAAAAGTTTTTAAATTTTTTATTTTATAAAAATTTTATAAATTTTTTAATTATATTTCTACGATTTTTGAATTTTTTTCGAATTTATTATGAATTAAACATTTAATTATGGCTTTTGACTATTTTTAATTCATATTTAATGGAAGGGTAAGAATGGAATGCAAAAATAGGTATGTTTCCAATAGGGCTCATATGATCCTATTTTGGAATAAAAACATAGCAAGTCCTATTTTAGGTTTTTGCCATATTTTTAGTCCTATTTGAACTAATTTCTACTAAGTGATATTGTTTATGTATACAACTTTACATGCAAATTACTTATGGAGTATTTAATTTTTCCAATAGATAAAATAAACTACGATCCTCTAAATTAATTAGGGGAAATTCTCGAAATAGGAGTAAAAACGTTTCAAAATTACAAAATGTGATTGCCAGGGTTGTAACACCGCCCCCGAGTATTTGTACTGTACCAAATTATGCATTTAACCTTGAGAAATGTATAAAAGCATTTTTACGTAATTGTAAATTTTTATCATTTCTATTACGTGAATAGTAAAATCCACGTGGGGCCCACACCGGATGTGGGGCCGCCCAATATTATCGGGACCACATATTATATTAATCT